TTCTACAACACCTAAAGTTCAATGTTCAAACTAGCCTAAATTCTCTCAAACAAATATGAAAAAATTACTATGGGTACATGCATATCTAAGCTATCTAGCCCAAAAAGAATCAACTCAAAATCATACACCAATCATTCACAATAAAATCAGCAAAATGGCATACCAAACATATCAAAATAAAAGCAATTAAAAATACAAAAATGCAAATAAAATATAAAATGCATGAATTAATGAAATTTTAATCCTATTAAATTCTACACATTCTAAGGAATCAAGGGAAAAAAATCTAGCTTAAAAATACTAATTTTTCTATTTATGGTGAATTAATTCCTAACTATATGAAAAATATGAAATTAAAAGAAAATAAAGAAAATTAATAAAGTTGCATGTCAGATAGCAATTAATTCCAGTTGAAATCCAAACCTGGGCCCAAGAGGGGGTGTCAATAGCGCGCATGACTAAGCCCAAACCAATATTAAAACCACTCAGAAAATAAAAGGGAAATTGGAAAAAGGGCGTGATGAATAGCAACATATTCCAGTTCAAATTTCAGTTGGGCCTAAATTGGGGGTGTGGTTAGCAAGATTTCCCTTAAGCCCACCCAAACTGAATAAATGAAACGCAGAGTTTTGAAAAACTCAAACTCTCTTCTGATTTTGAAACGCGATCATGGCCGTTAGATGGGGTCCTCAGTCAAGGTCAAAGCATCATCCAAGGGCCCTGGGTCATCGTCCCCAAATGTTTGAAAAAAGGAGGGAGAAGCTCAGACGGTGGCCTGAGCTTTGTGCCACCGTCTTCTCCGGCGAAGACATCCCAAAACCTCATCAATCAAGCCAACTAAATACCCTATCCCACCTGAAATTTCATCCTGATCATGAATATGACCTCCATTTCCATTGATTCTCACCCTAACTCAAAACCCGATAGAAGTTGCAGAAAAATCACCAAATCTTGATCAACTCAATTCTTGCAATTAAAGATCCTAAACTCATCTACATGTTTCAGTCATCAATTCTAACCATCTGAACGCCCTTGAAACCTCAAGAATCTCAAGATATAAGCTTCAACAGAAAATGCATCATACTTAATTTGGTCTCTAATTGCTCCCAAACCTATCCAGAAACGATCCTTATGTATCCTAGGTCCTAACCACATGCAAGATTCTACTCAATTCTCCCTAGATCAATGTAGCATTTGGAAGTTACTAACCTGATGAAAACTCACTAACAGAAGCACTTGGAGCACGATTCCACCTTCAAATCTTTCCAGAAATGTTCAATGATGCAAGATGAAGCTTTCTCAATCTTCAATTTGGCTTGATTGTGCTTGCAAATCCAAAACCGATTCTGAGTTGGAGCTCTTGAAACTCAACCTTCTCTAACAGCTTCTAGCACAAATTGATCACCAAACGGAGTCTGAACTCACTCCAATCAATATATAGAAAGATTCCATGGGCTTTTTGATCCACTTTGAGGCCTAAATCATTGTATCCAAAATCTGATCTTTGCCATTGAAACTCAAGGTGACAGTTGCGAATTCTGGCTTATTCCTTGTTCCAGAAGGTTCCATTCAGTTGCAAATTGACTTTGGAATGTGTTTGGATCAAAAGCACAGCCTGAATTGCATTGGTTGTTGATTTGGATTAGTGACTTGCATATGAAGAAATCATTTAAAAGGCAAGCCATGGAACCAAGCCTCAATTCAAAAATGTAATATTTCCAATGTCTTTGAAATACATTTCCTGATCAATTTGGTATATAACATGGGCTTGTTTGGACCCCAATCAAGAAATTCCCTTTTTTTGACCTTTTAATACTTTTAATTTCTTCCTTTTCAAAATTTCCCAAACCAATCTTCTCTTATGAGCCAATTCAAAGCCTCATTGATGCATGTCAAGGTTAAAACCCTATTTTGAGCAACTTTCTAGTTGAACAATTTTCCATTTGAGGCCTCTAAGTTGGAGATTTTGGCCCATGCTTGAAAATGACCTATAATCACCAATACCCAAAATACCCCTGGCTTGACAAGATCATAACTTGAGTTCTACAAATCCTCTTGAGGACTTCTAGTACTATATGGAAAGCTAAGATCAAGATATACAACTCTTATATTGGTCAAGAACCCATTTGAAAATTCCTTGAAGGGCAAAAGTTTCTGGGAAGTCGAGTGACTTTCACAGATAAATTTCAGTGTCCTCTGATGACCTATAATTTGCAAGAACCATAACTTGAGTTCTATAAATCCCCTTGAGGACTTCTAGTACTCAAATTAAAGGTATTGAGATGCTATAAAATTTTCATGTTGGCCAAGAATCCATTTGAAACTTGTATTTTGACTTATGTGGCTTTGTAGTTGGGCACTAAACAGGGGATTTTACACTGAAACCCTAATTTAGCAACCTCCCACATTCTTGATCTTTCTTTTCTTAACCTTGGCAAAACACCGCACATGTATCAACATACCAATATATGAATTCCATGACTTCAAAGTAGGCTTTGATGCTCTCCAATTACACAATTGAATTAGGGTTGACACAGATGAAACCCTAGTTGACTGCACCTCCACTATGGCTCTTGTACTTGAATCAATGACTTGTCTTAGCTTCAATAGGGTCTTCTAGGCATCCCATGAGATCCATAAACACCTTAAATCCACATTCCATGTTTCACATCCCACTGATGATTCTCAATATTCCTCAAGATAGGAGCAAAACCCACATGTAGGCACTCAAACTTCTCAAGACTTCAAATCATTTCTTGATGGCCTGGATGACTTCTCATATTGGATAACACATCTTGCTAGGCTCTTCTCTTGATAGACACCTTGATCCCTTGTTGGATGCATGCTATGCTATGATATGCCAATGATTGACCTATGTACATGATGTAACTATGCAAATGAAATGCAATGAAACATAAATCAGGCAAGAAAAGGTTGAGCAAATTTTGGGGTGCAATAGTGTGCTTGGATTGTTGTTGTGCATTGGTGTCGTTCATATCATGATGTTTTGGTGGAATGAATCATGTCTCGGATGGAGCGTAAGTGATTCATCCATACTCCTTTGTGGAGAATGGTGGGGTTGAATCATGTCTCGGATGGAGCGTAAGTGATTCACCCGTACTCCTTTGTGGAGAAATGTGGGGATAGATCATGTCTCAGGAGGAGTGTAAGTGATCTATCCTGTTTATGATGTGCTCCTTTGTGGAGGGTTGATGGCCCGATGTCCATCAGTGATGATGAGTTGGTACCACATGCATGTGTTGGGTTGCATACTTGCATTGTGATATGTTGTGTTGATGATTGGACAGTAGGTCCTATTTGATGTTGGTGGGGTGATGATTGTTTATTTACTGCCTTTTATTCATGTACATTATTACTGCTATATTTTTTATCATATTCTCACCCCTTATTTTGTTGTTGTGGTCTGTGCTTCTTCATAAGTACAAATAATCCAGGTGCGTAGATAGCTCGGATAGTGGCGAGTCGAGTCGTAGGGATGCTCTGATACGTAACACGGGGCTTGGGAGTTTATTGTTTTTCTAATTATTTTGTTTTACTCCGTGACGTATCATGTTTTGTTGGAACCTTTGGTGAATATTGTGTATATTTTGGGCGGATGGCCGAATATGACGTATATATGTATATATGATATTCCGTTGTTTACTTTTGAAAACCATATAATGAAGTGTTTTTGTTGAGCTTCTTTTGTGATATCCTGCTTTGGTGTGGCAACTCTGATAATTGTTTGATTCATTTGCAATTTATTTTAATTTTGGGGAGCGGGGTGTTACAAGGAGCACCAATGAGACTAATACTCCAGGATCACAAGAGAGGGAGATACCACATCTCAACCCAAAACCTTACGGTGTTAGGTAAATGTTTCATCTCACTTATAAATTCAATATTCCACTCATTCATAGGCAATCTGGAATTTTAACCACTCATTTGCACCGAACAATTATCTATTCAATTCTGATTATAAATGGTTCCGTCAAGTCTAACAGAAGAGTAAACACCACATTTCCTCCCATTGGTCCAAGCGTAATAGCTACCAATAATGTCAAGATGAATAAGCTAATTTTGATTTGTCCAACTAAAAAACTCATAAGTAAAAGTTTTGTTTGGAGGACATCTACCAAATTTCTCACAGGAATCAATAACTATATTCAAATCACTTAGCCTGCACAAAGAGTTAAGATTGACCTATTGAAGATTGATAAGTTCATTTCATAACTGTCTTCAAATCACATGAAAATTACTTACATATACAACTTCAATAAATGGTTTACTTTGATCCACTTTTATATAAAAAAGTTACAAGTTGTTTAAATAAAACTCAACACAATGAAATTCGTATTGCCCAAAATTCCATATATTTGAATCATGATTCTATCTACAATTTAATACAAATCTCTTAAATTTGTTTTGTTCAAGACACTTAACACAGTTCATCAATCAAAAGTAAGTCAGAGATTTTTGTTGATCACATAGATTTTTATCAGCTAACCTAATATAATATATTTTACGTGTCTTAGTTATGAGCAAAGAAAGTATTTACATATTTGTCTAAATTTACACCTTCTAAATCCTTACATTTAACACCGAATATGTCATACCATATCCAAACATTACAAACACTTATTGTAATGTATTCAACTTTGAAAACATCCATCTTCAAGAAAACAGTATATTATCATCTTAAATTTTGTTTAGCCAATATCATCTTGAATATTCCGAGGAAATAGCCGGCACCGGCATCACATGTTTGTAACATCAAACTCCACTCTCATCTTACACTTGTATCTTCTTATTTTCCAAATAATAAACACTTTGTCTTCTTCCTTTTATCTCATTCAATATCATAATTTGACAATGTCTTCATAATATATAAAAACAAAGTGCCGGCGATTGAGCCTATGCTCTAAGAACTTTTTCATCAGTTAAACATTGGCAACACCACCATCATTCTTAACTTCTATCATTCCTCTATCTTACAATCCATGGCTTTCTTCACTTATGTTTCCATGTTAATCACAGTTTTCACTTTGTTCTATGGACTTTTCAATCCTGCATGCTCAATTTCCTTCAACTTCTCAAACTTTCAACCAAACTTATATCTAATAAACTTCCAAGGTGATGCATTTTGCTCCAACAATGTTCTTCAGTTAACAAAAAACCAACTGGATGGTCCCATCACAAGCAGCGCCGGTCGCGCTTCATTCGATCAACCGGTGAAGCTCTACGATAAAGAGACACAAGAGTTGACTGATTTCACAACACATTTCACCTTTAAAATGAAAGCTGTTATTGCGACGCAGTTTGGCGATGGTTTATCGTTCTTCATCGCCCCGTTTCAATCTGATATCCCGATGAATTCGTCTGGCGGTTACCTTGGCTTGTTCAACAATGTAACTGCATTTGATACTAATAAAAACCAAATAGTAGCTGTTGAGTTTGATAGTTTTCAGAATGATTGGGATCCAAGCTCTGATCATGTTGGAATCAATGTTAACTCGATTCAATCGGTTCAAAATGTTACTTGGAAAAGAAACATTAAAAACGGCTCGATTGCGAATGCTTGGATATCGTATAACTCTACAACAAAAAACCTTTCTGTTTTTCTTACTTATGCTAATAATCCAACTTTTAATGGAAACTCTAGTCTTTCACATGTTATTGATTTGAGAGATTTTTTGCCTGAATATGTTAGGATTGGTTTCTCAGCTGCTACAGGTCAATGGATTGAATTACACAACATTCTATCATGGTCATTCAAATCAAATTTGGAAAGTGGTAATGGTAAAAACATCAAGGTTGGTTTAGCAGTTGGTTTAAGTGTTTGTTTATGTTCTTTATCTTGTTTTCTATGTGTTTTATGGTTCACTCTTTGGAGAAAAAGAAAAGGAGTACTAAACAAAGGTAAAAGAGATAATAATATTACAGGTTTGGACTATTCTATAGACGACGATGAATTCGAGAGAGGAACTGGTCCTAAAAAGTTCACTTACAAACAACTAAGCAATGCAACAAATGGTTTTGATGAAAAAGGAAAGCTTGGAGAAGGTGGATTTGGAGGAGTTTACAAAGGTTTACTTTCAAAGAAAACAAAAATGGAAGTGGCTGTGAAAAGGGTTTCAAAAGGGTCAAGACAAGGAAAAAAAGAATACATATCAGAAGTAAGAATAATAAGCAAACTAAGACATAGAAACTTAGTCCAACTCTTAGGTTGGTGTCATGAAAAGAATGAACTTTTACTTGTTTATGAGTACATGCCTAATGGAAGTCTTGACTTTCATCTATTTGGAAAAGGGGTTATGCTAAGTTGGAATATAAGATACAAAATAGCATTAGGTTTGGCTTCATCTCTTCTTTATTTGCATGAAGAATGGGAACAATGTGTGGTGCATAGAGATATTAAATCAAGTAATGTGATGTTGGATGCAAACTTTAACTCCAAGCTTGGTGATTTTGGTCTTGCAAGGCTAGTGGATCATGAACTTGGTTCACAAACAACAGTTTTGGCAGGTACAATGGGATATTTAGCACCAGAATGTGTGACAACAGGGAAATCAAGTAAAGAATCTGATGTTTATAGTTTTGGAGTTGTTGCACTTGAGATCACATGTGGTAGAAGGCCAGTTGAGGCAAGAGAAGAGGCTAAGAAAGTTAGGCTTGTGGAGTGGATTTGGGATTTGTATGGTAAAGGTGAGTTATTTGAAGGGGTTGATAAAGGGTTGAACTTGGAGTTTGATGAGAAACAAATGGAGTGTTTGATGGTTGTTGGATTGTGGTGTTGTCACCCTGATTTTACTATGAGGCCTTCTATAAGACAAGTGATTAATGTTTTGAATTTTGAAGGTGCTTTGCCTAGTCTTCCATCAAAGTTGCCTGTGCCTATGTACTTTGCACCTCCTATGGAGATGTGTAGATTTTCTTATAATTCTGATGGTCTTACAAACACAACTAAGGGTTCTTCTAATTACTCATCTATGTCAGCAGGATCTAGAAAATCTTTATTGTAGATTTGTAACCCTACACTTATTGTGTTTTTTTTATGTGTCTTGTGATGTAGCAAAATAAAGTTTGAACTTATTTATTTTATGTAAATTACTTGATTTTTTTAATTAATATTACTTAAGTTCAGAAAACTCAAAATAATCTGGTAATTTACCAATCATAAGAAAAGTGGAGACAAGGGATCACCTTGTGTCAAACTTCTACTACAATTAAAAAAACAGCAACTTAGACATTCACTAGTAAAAAAAGCTTCTCATTATTTATGATCAAAAGCTTCTAAAACATTAATAATAAACTTTCATTTCAGAATGTAAAAAGTCTTTTTAATATTTATCTTATAATTTCAACATGTATATCATTTCTAGTCTATGTGAGACTTAACCACTCACACTTAAAAATCAACTATTTACTTTGTAATCACAATCATATATTTTGTTATGTTCTTACTATATGAGTCATACTTAACAATCTCTACATTGAAGAATATCAAATTCCTATGAAGACTTCTTACATAACAAATACATTCTGCAAATTGTGGAGGTACATCTCATTTTTAACACTAAGAAACATGTAACAAGTCCAAGCAATGTTTGAACATATCCTTATTGTTTGACTTGGTCAACATATCAGTTCCATTTCTAAACTATGAACCTTTTCAATTAATGTCAGTCAAAATGCAAGTAACTCTACGATTTTGTGAAATCGCACATCAATATGCTTAGTCTTGGCATGATACACCTGATTGTTTTTCAAATAAATGACACTCATACTATCACAATGTAACCGAACTCCCAGCTGCTCAACACCCAATTCTCTCACCAATCATGTAAATCATAAGGCTTCTCTAAGAGCTTCACCTACTGTCATGTATTCTCCTTTAGTTGTCGATATGACCACTATGATTTGAAGTGATGATTTCAATCAAATAGGTACTCTTGCTAAAGTAAAGGCATACACTGATGTAAAACTTCTTTTATCCATATCACTAACATAGTTTGAATTAAGATATCCTACAAATGAAGGATGACTGTGTTTAAGGGTGTCATACCCTCATTTTCACCCAATTCTTTGCATCATACATTCATCATATCATCTCATTAGCACAACACTTGATCCTTGGTTCCTCCGTGAATTAAGGTTTGCATTAGTTTTGAAATTCTGGTATGTGGATATCAAATGTCCTAAGAGATGTCGAGACATTGATATCTGTTTAAAACATAAGGACAAAATATAACACAATTAAAAGTGCGGAAATTAATAAAACACAAAGAGTTGTTAACACAATTCAGTGTACAACATCACCTACGTCTGGTGGCTACCAAGACAGGAAGGAAATTCACTATTAGCAGTATAAGTTCAAAATTAAACTCTCCCATTTATAACTTCTCACTTAATACCTACCCAGTGCAATTTCTATCTAAGACACTCCTAGATATGAGAATTCCCTCTCACTTCCTACCAGACACCAATAGTAGTGATAGACATAACAGTACATCAGAAGAAGTCACACTTTAAAAATAAAACTTGATCTTGCTTAAAAGCTTCAATCAAGTAAAACACACTCTTGCTTAAAAGCTTAGAGTAGACATTTACAATTCAATAACATCAGTACAATTCAAGCATCTATGGGGTGAATGAATGGTTGATAACGTGAAAATATATCGTTTACTTCGACTCGATTCGCATGTAATTTAATGTCGTTTTACTTGTTTTTCCTATTATTATGTCGTGTTATGTTTGTGTTTCAGGTATTTGTCAAATTAGAGCGACCGTGCGAGAAAATCGAGAAAAGAGCAAGAAAATAAAAAAGGAGCAAGTTCTCCTATTTTATTGATATGGCGTTCGCCGTGAGCAAATGGCGTCCGTCATGTACTAGAAGCCACATCAATTATTGCCCTAACGGCGTTCACCATTATCCTGTAGAACCATAATTTTGTGAATTAGTTGTAACTGCCTCTCTCCACTTCCCCCACATCTTCTCAACTTCCTTTCACGTTTTTGGGAAGTTATCAGGCACTTAGGACCTCTATATATAGTAGTTTTCTTGTTATTTCATATCATTCAAGTGGTGCGAAAGCGCTGTCAAATTGCTTCCTAGTATTAGGCAAAAAAACTATTTGTAAAACTGAAAGTACCTCACATCGATGGATTGTCACACAAATTATGTTTTTATTTACTTCTTGTACTCTTGGATCAACAACAATCTTGCCGGAATTAATAGAAGTTCGTTTACTCTTTCAAGTATCATTTTCATTATCGTTTTATAGGTTTTTATCGCTTTAAATTATTTACTGTTATTGCATTGTTACTTTCGTTAGTATGATGTCCTTAAATTTAGTTGTTACGTTCACGTTATTTTCATCTGAATTAATGTCTTAGTAAATTCTGTCTGAGTCCGGCGTATGAGGATCGTCGTTACCGACGGGAATTAGTAGAAAATAATAGGCACGAAAGATTTAAATGAATTTTGTTTTGGTTTTAGTTTCTAATTATAAGTCTTAATGTTTTGTCATGAGAGTGAAAAGCATGCTAAGGTTCAAGCCGATAGAACAAGAGTGCGAGGATTAAACTGGATAGTAGAAACTAGGCATCGATCATAAAAACAGCGAGAGTGCTTTAGGTATCGATTAGGATCTAATTGATTTTCTGAATACACTTTCTAATTAAAACGGGCGAGCGAGAGCAAAATCGTGTGGTTAGGGAGTGTGGTTTTAGTCAATAGCGCGAGAGTGTGAGACGAAGTCTTTAAATTGATATTTTCTACGGAACGCAGTTTAATTATGATTAGTGCCTTAAAATCTACAGAGTCCCTTAGGAACACGTAATCCATATTCCGACCTCTCCTTATTATTATATTTTCTAAGTTTCATTTTAGTTTTCATTTTAATTTTGTTTAAACTAAGTAATATTTAGTCTTAGCTTTATATCTCAACAATATATAACGGTAGGTTGACATTGGTCTGTGTGGGTTCGATAATCTTTTATATTACTTTGATATTTCCCTGCACTTGTGGATGCATCATGTTTTTGGCACTGTTGTCGGGGACCAACAGTCAGTATTGTGATTCCGTTGTTGCACAGTATAGACTAAGGCACTCTTATCTCAATTACTATGTGTCACCCAGATTTCCTCTATAATTACCACTCCCAATATTTTGAGGAACTGCAAAATTTTCATAAATCCGACCTCGAAATAGTAATGGAGGATTTGAATGCGACGCTAATTCATTCTCACCCAAATTTCCTCAACGATTACCACTCCCAGTATTTTGAGGAACCATAAGACTTTCATAAATCAAAACTTAAAACACTAATGGAGGAATTCAATATGACGCTTACTCACTCTAGGATATAATCTATGATGGAGTGTTTTGTGGAGACACAAACTCTCCAAAATAAAGAGCTTAGATAACAACATCTCCAAATTAATAAAAACCTTAGGCTGAAGAACATTATGGTCGAGTCCCTCGCGACTCACAACGAGGCATTGGAGACTCAAATCTCCCTGCTTGAACAAACACCTATAAAACCATACCCTAAGAGACATATGGTTGTTGTAATAACTAGTAGTGAAGAACAAATAAAAAATCCTAAGGAGAGTTCTGGTGAGAAAAGCGTGGAGAATGAAAAAAAACCACCAACACCACCCAAAAGGGAGGTTATCGAAGAGGTAAAGAACGAAGCACCCGTTGTTGTTTCTCCCTCCTATACCCCACTGATTCCTTTCTCACAAAGGTTTGTGGAAGCTAAGGTAGACTCTCAATCCAAAATGTATATGAAGGTATTGGAAAATATCCACACCAATGACCTTTTTCTGAGGTCCTGCATAAAAAGAGAAAATTCAAGGACCATGAAACTAGGGATATCAATATTGTTAAGAGGGTAAGATTAACCTTTGATGTGGTGAATGAAATAAATAAGCCCAAATTTGAAAAAATGATACTCAGGATAAACCCATAACCACCACCAGAAGTTCAAAAGAATGAACCACCCCACATAAGGAAGAAAATAAAAGATGAGGGATATGAGAGATAGCTTGATAAGTGGCCATGGAAACCTAAGACTATTAAAAGTTTGATCGAGGAATCATTCTCGAGAGAACAACCATGAGTGCTTGCGCTCCTTTGCCATCAAGATATCAATGTTAAACAAAGCGCTGCGTAGGAGGCAACCCACAAAGTTTTATTTTAAGTTTCTATGTTTGTTTATTTGAATATGCAGAAAATAAAGAAATGCACCACTTATCACGTCTCAGCTACATCTAGACGAAAATTCTTTAGATGACGATCTTGGAGATGAGAACAGGATCATAGAGGATTTGGTATGTAGTATCATTCACACAGGTTCTATCTTTCTTTTTTCCACATTTTATCAAAACATTGAGGATAATGTTGGGTTGAAGTGTGGGGGAGGAACTTTACCGCTTTCATTTTATCGCTTTTCAGTTTGATTTATTGTTTTATAGTTTATTTCATATTTTTAGGAATTTATCTGTTTTCAGTATTTTGTCGAGTCTTTGTATGTGTTGTCAAGTCTTTATGCGTGATTTTCACTTTGTTATTAAATATCCCTGAAATTTTAAAATCTTAGCCTCCAACAAAAAAAATTTCTTTGATTTATGGCACGACACTCTGAAAGTATATATGTTATTTTTAATTTAGGCTGTGTTAGAGAGACTTGGGAAAGTTTCGATAAAATTGATACTACCCCGACACCCTAAACCCCTTAAATATGCAAAATTAATTTGAGTAACCATTATGCCAAGACCTTAAGCTCAGTTTTTAAAGTAATCTTTAAGTAGTTTATTTAAGCAGCCAACACCATCCTAAGCACACACTAAGTAAGAAACCGATGCAAATAAGTGTATGATCTCTGGTTCAAAATGAGAAATTAAGGGGAAAAAAATATGTTCCTTCTAAGCCTTCACTCGATCACTTAGCCCAACGGTACAAACTCTTTAAGTTCAATTGATGCGTAAGCATATTTTCCAAAAAAAGTGAAATAA